TGTTATTAAACTTTTTTATCGGAATTCTCTTCAGAATTTTATAAAATCATATCAAGTTTTTCCGTAAGACCTCTCGTTTTCGAGATAAATCGATACAAATGCGAGGATTTGTATATTCCCTTTTTAGAAAGTTTTTTTTTGAAGTGGATTATCTCGGTAATCAGCGGATTTAGGAGGAAATATGATTAGACTTTTTTTGTTGGGAATTTTTCCAAGACTTTAAAAGGTTTTCTCGAATTTTCTCGTAGGACTCTTTGTTGCGGAGATAAGTACACATTAATGTAGGGTATTTCATAATTTCTCGATGGAATTCGTTGGATGGAGCCCTGAGTTTTTTTTTTTTCACTTTAGAACTGCGGAACTGTTGGAAAAACCCTCAAGGACGGATTCGAATGTCCCAAGGACCGACAAGTCGACACCAGAGGAATGTTGGTGGATCATCCTAAATATGCGCATCCTGATGATTGTCAGAAATTCTACGTATGTCTGAACGGAGAAACCCCGAGAGAACAAGGCTGCAGTGATGGTACCGTCTACAATGAGGCGACACAAATGTGCGATGCACCTGAAAACGTTGCTGGCTGGTACGAAATGATTTTTCAAAAAAAAAAATCGTTAAATTCGTTTTTGATAATTTGATAAGATCGCTTTTTTGATGATTTCAATAATTCAATTTTGGTATGATTTTGGTTTTCAGTGAGGATTGGTACAAGGATGATGCCAAGAAGCCCTAGGGCCCTATGGAGGTCCCAGATGTCCCGCATCGGGACCAGGCGTTTCAACTTTCACCGAAATCTCAACTTGTTTCGCCAAAAAAAAGAGAAAAAAACGAGAAAATTTACTGTAGCCATGTAAATGTTTTTATTTTTAATAAAACCCTGTCTCATTAACTCTACGAGTGACTTATGAATTTTATTGGAATTGTTTGGTTCTCCTTTTAGATGTGTATTGAGTTTTACTTCCTGTTGGCGTATGTTTCACTCTTGAAATAACGCTTTCACTATTTTCTGATGGAAAGAAAAATAATCTCGACCTCACGTATTATTATTCGCCTTCACGGATGAATTATCAACTACTCTCTAACGTCTGGGTCACCAGTGGACCTTGATCATAATTAATATCGGTCATCAATCTCAAAATCACAAATTCATTAACCCCCACTACCTTTCGCATTAAACCAAAAAATAAAAGAGAAAAATTGAATAAAACCTCTAGAAGCTATTAGCAATATAAAATTAATTAAATCTGATAATTAATTCAACAATAATTATTACATTATAATAATCCGATAAAATAAATAATTCCCTAATTAATCACAAATTAAAATAATT